GTATTAAGAACAAGTACTGAAAAAATGTTTTTAAAATTAAAAGAAGAAAACTCAGGGACTAAGTTCAGATAATCCCTTGAATACTCCTTCATTCTTTCTTTTCTACCCTCTTCTCTAGTTTCCCAAACCTTGTGTGACCATCCTTTTCAAGAAGGGGAACAGAATCTGACATACAGAAAAGTGAGGCATATAGAACTCAAAACAGCTATGACCAAAATAAATCTACACCCAGACATATAATAGACAAGATCTCACAAATTCAGTACAAACCAGAATATTAAAAGCTGTTAGAGAAAAAAGAAAAAGCAGATCACCTATAAAGGAAAGCCCATTAGAATCACTGCCAATTTCTCAGTACAAGCCCTCAAGTCAAGAAGAGGTTGGAATGAAGTATTTCAAGTCCTGAAAGAAAACAACTTCAAATCCAGATTGACATACCCTGCAAAACTATCCTTCAAAATTAATAGAGAAATAAAATAGTTCCATGACAAAGAACAACTGAAGAAATTCATGGCCACCAAATTAACCATACAAAGAGTACTGAAAGATATTGTAGAGATAAAAATGACCACAAGTTCAAGAACACCATCAGAAAGAAACTACCAAACAGGGCAAGTAATTTAACAAAGAGGGTAAGAAAGGAGCCAACAGCAAGAAATAACATGACAAGGATAAGCCAATACATATCAGTTATAACGATCAATGTAAATGGACTCAATTTACCAATCAAAAGAAACAGATTGGCAGAATGGATCAAGAAACAAAATCCAGAAATATGTTGTATACAAGAAACACATTTAACTCAAAAAGAAGCTCATAGACTGAAAGTCAAAGGATGGAAAACCGTACCCTATACAACGGGAACCCAGAAAAAAGCAGGGGTAGCTATTCCATCTGCAGAAAATGTGAACTTCAAAAATGTTTGAAAGAGATAAAGGTCACTACATACCTTTTAGGGGAAAAATTCAAGAGGAAGAGATAACAGTCATAAATATATATGCACCAAATATGGAAGCACCCACCTATATAAGACAAATACTAATAGACATGAAAAATCACATAAAGAATAACACAGTTGTGGGGCTGGGGATTTAGCTCAGCGGCAAAGCGCCTGCCTGGCAAGCGCGAGGTCGTGAGTTCGGTTCCTGGTACCGGAGAAAAACCAAAAAAAAAAAAAAAAAAAAAAAAAAAGAATAACACAGTTGTAACAGGGGACCTTAATACCCCATTGTCACAAAGTGATAGATCAACTAGACAAAAAATTAGCAAAGAAATAACAGAACTGAATCAAACTTGTGAACATTTGGACTTAGAAGACATTTACAGTATTCCACCCAACGACATCACAATACACATTCTTCTCAGGTACACATGGGACATTCTGTAAAATAGACCACGTTCTGACCCATAGAACATGCAAAGGAGTTGAAATTATCCCATGCTTATTTTCTGACTACAGCACATTGAAATTGGAAATTAATAACAAAAGAAATCACAAATACTCCATGAACACATAGAAATTAAGTAACACCCTCCTGAGCAAATGGGTCACAGATGAAATTAAAGAAGAAAGTTGTCAACATCTGCAGTCAAATTAAAATGCAAATACAACTTATCAGAACTTACGGGATGCAGTGAAAGTAGTGGAAATTAGTTTGGAGATTCCTCAGCAAACTAGGTCTAAAGGTCCCATTCAACCCAGCTGTCCCCCTTCTGGGTATTTTCCCAGAAGATCTAAAAGCATCATATCACAGCGATATATGTGCACCCATGTTTATAACAGTGCAATTTGTAATTGATAAATTGTGGAAGCAACCCAAATGTCCATCCACCTAGGATCGGATAAGAAAATTGTGGTACTTTTATAGAATGGAATATTACTCAGCTATAAAGACAGATAAACTCGAGGCCTTTATATTTAAATGGTCACAACTAGAGACTATACTCACAAGTGAAGTAAACCAGACCTCCATGTGTAAGCAACGTATTGTCTCACTAGTGTAAGAACCTGAAAGAGTGAATAAATATTAGGAGGTATGACAGATATTGTGAAACAAAAGGAAAATACTCAAAGGTAAAGAGCAACTGGGGTGAGGGAACAGAGAAAAGAAAGAAGGGGAAATTATGTATGTATGTATGTATATACAGAATAGCTAGCATAGTTGTACTACTGACTTCTATCGCTTTACTGAATGGAACAGTTAATGAGTAATTATTTGATCAATCTTGCATGTCTGTATTTTCCTGAGAAACCACTTTGAAGATATCAATAGATAATACAACAACTATTGTTAATTTCCTACCACTTTGTCTGTAACTCTGTATTGCGTGTATTGTTCTTATGCTGTTTTGTAAATGGATGTCTGTTTGTTAATATGTTTTCCTTGTTTTATTCTTAAAATAAATTTTAAAAATAGCAGTACTAAGAGGAAAATTTATAGAGATGAAGTTTCACATCAGGGAAAAAAATAAGCACAAATAACCTTATGTTGCATCTCAAGCATCTAGAAAAAGAGGAGCAAGTCAAGTGTAAACATCTAGTTATTGTCTCCCTAGTGTAAGAAACTGAAGAGTAAATAAGATCCAAAATGTACAGTAGATACTGTGAAAGGGAAAGTAACTGCTGAAAAGGAAAGAACAGCTGGGATGAGGGAAAAGAGAAAAGCAGGAAGGGAAAAGAAAAAAAAAAAATATATATATATATATATATGATGGATAAGATAATTATACTACTTATTTCTGTTAGTTCATTGAAAGGAACAGTTTGTGCTGATATTGTTTGATAATTTTGCATGGCTATATCTTGTAATCTGAGCAACTGCTTTGAATTTAACAATATTCAGTATAATAACCATTGTTAATTTCATTGTTTTTATTGTTTTACTCTCTTTAAAATAAAAAAAATTATTGAGACATCTTGAAATTAATACAAATTACCTGTGGCCGCTACCATTACAAGAAATGCTCAATGTGATGGCCATTAGCTTCCAGTCAATTATTAGTATGGTGAACTACTGCTTGAGTAACCTTGGTCACCGAGGTTACTACACATGCGTTTTCAGTTTCTTTTCTAAGGACTGGCAGTGTAGTGGGTTTTCTGTAATATGCCACGTTCTCTACAGTCCCCAGTACAAGGGAAACACCATCTGTTGAAAAACTATATTTCTTTTCCTGAAGTGTGTATACTTTTTTTGTCAAATTCTGTATAAATGTCAGAAATGTTTTTACCAGTTTCATTACATATGATCACAGTCTTCCATGTACACTGATAAAAAGCACACTGCTTTGGAAGTCAGCAGATGGAGAAAATGTTAGTGAAGTGGATGTTTTGTGATTTGACTGAATAATCAAATCTGAAAGTAATTGTGTAAAACTTCCAGTGGAGGCTTTATTGCTTGTGTCAAAGTTTTGCAGCCCTGTGTGTAAAGGAATTTGCATGGTTCACATACCTTTTATTAGTACTGAGGGGAGTTTGATGCTTACCTTTGAGTAATGGGGGCAGCAATTCTGAGGGCATCAACAGGGAATGGAGGACAGCCCTTTCTGCTGCCTCTTCCAGTATGCAAGTGCATTCAGAGCTGCAACTGGCCTAGCATCGGGTTCTGGGGTCATGCACTTCCCCTGCAGAGTATGTAGAAGGAGCCTTTGGGCTTTCAATTAGTCATTAAACGTGGCTTTTCTCATTCAACATTTTGAATTGTCTTACCGTTGGGTGCCTGGGGATAGTGCAAGTAGGGAAGAGATGGACTTTGCTTTGGGTGACCTGGAAGAAATGGGAAAGGAGTGGTTCTCAGGCAGTCTGTTCCCACAAAGATCCTTGGAAGTTGGGATCTGCTGGTTGATTCCCTTAAACTAGTGGTTCTTTGCGTATGCCTTCAGACCACTAGCATCAGCTTCTTCTGGGAACTTGTTAAAAACATAAATTCTTGGGCCACACACCAAACTCCAAGGGCCCTCCAAGCAATTCTAATGCACTCTGTGACTTGTGATGATTTGTCACATGTTGGTGTAGTGTGTAGATGATACGATAACTTATTTTGTGAAAACACTAGACATTTAATTTTTGTACGTTTTGGAGCCCATTTAATTAGCTTTCAATTATATAAAAGAGCATAGATCCCATACCACCTGATGAACCTCTTGCCAGGTGAGCAACAGCAGCATGTCCTGAGCCAGAGACCCATGGGAGGTGAGTGAGGATCCTTCTGGGAGGGACCATGGGCAGTTCTTAGGCAGCTTGCCCAGGGTCTGCAGGAAAGAGGTCGGTCCTGGCATTTTCCCACGTGTGTCACACCCACTTTTATTCTAGTGCAAAGGCAGAAGTTTAATGTCTTTGAGGAGACACTAGCTCTGTGTTTTTGCCAGCACCTGAAGCCGCCATCCTATCTCCCTTGGATTTATGAAATGGCTTATTTCAGCTCACTCCCTGCTTTCAAATTTCCTTCCACTCGTGACCCTTTTGAAATGTGGCCATTGGACCCTATTAAAACACAGATCAGAACAGGACACTCTGCCTTAAAATTAAAATCCATAGGGCTTCACCTTGCCAGTATTAAAAATAAAAACAAAAAATCCAGAAGATTCTTCATCTCCTACCTGTGAGTTTTCTGAGCCCTGCTATGAGACTGTGCAGACCCTTCATTGAGACCTCAGAGGAGTCAAGGAGGCCTGTGGAGTCCATGGGGACTCCCAGGTTTATAACCGACCTTGACCTTGCCTTTCCAGCAGGCAGAGCCCAGTGGCCTGAGTGGTTGTCATCAGGATATGGGCCACTGCAGATGAGGAACCAGTGGGGTATGAGCTGCTTCCTCCATTCGTGCCTTTCATGTCTTCAATGCTCCCTTTCTTGCCTGATAATTCTTACTTTCCCAACATCAGTTATGAGAACAGTCACATTATTTGCTGCAGTATCTGTGGGGCCTCTTGAGGGCTCAGTAACCACTTTTTTATCCCATGAACAAACTGCACCTTCTGGCTTACACCTGTCTCTTGCATTGCAGTTTGGGGCTGAATTCCGAAGGTTCTCCTTGGACCGTCATAAGCCTGGGAAGTTTGAAGATTTCTACCAGTTGGTCATGCACACCCACCATATCTCCAACACCGAAGTGACCATTGGCTATGCAGATGTGCACGGGGACCTGCTCCCCATCAACAATGATGACAACTTCTGCAAGGCAGTCTCCAGTGCGAATCCTCTGCTCCGAGTCTTCATTCAGAAACGAGGTGCCCAGCGGCAGAACTGCTGCTTTCTCAGTATTCATTTAAGACAAAAATACAGGTCTTAATTTGGTCCACCATGGTAGGATTGGGAGATTCTGTTTTCTAACCCATCCATGGCAGGAGATTAAGGAAATTAAATTTTTTTTTGTCAAATCGGTAAAAGCTCAGAAATAGCAAAATTGCATTTTCTACTTTAACTAGTATTGACTTATGCTTTTTAAATACTAAGGAAAAACAATAATAATACTTTCGTATTTTAACTGAAAACAAGTCAATCCAGTAATGAAAAGGCATTTGAAAGGCATTTGTCAGTAGCCTAAGAATTAAACTTTAGGTCACTATATGTATCTTCCCTGTGTTTCTAGGATTGGGAAATAATGTTAACTTCAAGTTATAATTTTAGTTAATGTTAGGCTGTGCTGTAAGTAATAACACTATCATTTATGTGAAAATAAATTACTAACATAGTTGGTGTTTGTTTGACAGTGGATGCTGGCTGCAGATTCACTGTGGGGCCCTGTGTTGCTCATATCCTAGAAGTGCATTTTACATTCTTTTTCCCCCCTCTAAAATTAGGAGAATTCTTTCATTTCAAACTAATGTGCTAAAGAAAAGAATGAACTGCAGATGAAGTCTGAAATTAGGAAAATTGAATTTTTGTAATGGATTTAGTAATGATTATCCCTCCTTCCTGGGGCAGATCTCTTGTGTACACAGTGAACAGTGAGTGCCTCAGAGATCAGAGCAGCTAGTGGGGGCCCTTGCAGAGTGACTCCACAACACACCGTATCTGCTGTTGTGTACTTAGTCATAGGTATCTCTCTGGCACACTTAGGGAGAGCTTGGTGACGAGGAACCAGAGGAAGTAGCAGTAGTGTGCTGGGTCAAAAGGCAAAGGAGCCACAGGGTGGGAGCCAGCTGCAGGTCCCATGAGGGGATGTGCTGAGCAGTGTTCCAGTTTCCAGTCCATGCTCTGTGTTAGCTCTTGTGTTCTTCCCACCCGTGGTGATGAGAGACAGCAGGAAGCCTGCTAACCTTGCTTCAGGCCCATTCTCTGACGCAAGATCAGACTGTGCATCTGTAGTGCTTCTGAGCCATGTGTCCTGCCGACAATATGGAGAGGCCAGCATAGCTGCCTCATACAGTGAGTGACCTTGGGACCAGGAGTCTCCAAGGGCCCTGCGTGGCTTTGTGTAACCTCCAACTTCCCTGTCTGCTGATCTGCGTCTGCTGCCCTCTGGTGACCACCACTGCCCAGATGGCCCTGGGGCAGACGCCTGCCCCCTCTTGCTGCCCCTGCCTAGGGCTCCCTGCCCCTCACACCAATCAGGAATCTGTTGATGCTGTGTCCTCTCAGTCTGATATTTCTGTGTTCTTACTGTGTGTTTCCACCAGACCTTGAGGCCCAGGGACCTTGTTCCTGGTCATACCCATGCTCGTGAGGGGCAGGACGAAGATGTGACTGTGCCAGCGAGTGGCACATGTGCACGTGGACCTTGACATGCATTGTGCAGGAAGACAGTCTTTGTGTCCCTTGGCTGCAGAAGTGGGGTGTGAAGTGCCGGCAGAGGTTGTCCTGGATGAGGTGTGGCCCCTCTGCCACGGAGTTGCAGATACCTGAGGTGTGAGAGTTAATGCAGGGGGAATGCATTCTCTCTCACACGGTTGAGAAGTGTTGCCTCTTTGCTCTTTTCTCTTGCAGTTTAGGCCCCATACCCTGTCTTTATTTGTTTCTTTCTTCTTCTATCCTCAGAGTACCAGCACAGCATAAATCCAGCTGGCTTAGGTTTTCTGACTCTGCTGTCTTTAGTGAGCACCTCACTGACAGCTCCTGTCTCATTCCATCAGCCCTTTCTCAGACCCTCTCAGCTGCTCAACCCAGTGTGCTCAGCGTCCCATCTGTGAAATGGAAGGGCAGCATGTGGCTTCTGAGTGGTCATCAGTTTCCATGCCAGCAAGCCCTTTTCTGATCACGCATTCATTGTCTCAGCCCCACATTCTGTCACTGGAGCCTTCTTGCCCTCCTTACTGAGTTCTCATAGTAGCAACACAATGCAGGACAGAGAGTTGAGGGCACCTATGCATTTTGGACAGCCAGGCTCCCTGAGGTTCAGGACAGACATGCCGATCTGTCACTGTGAAGATCCAGTGTCTGTGGCAGCTGGGTCCGGAGGCCTACCCAGGTTCAGTACAGTCCACAGTCTTCCACTGCCTCTGTGTTTGAGAAGTTGAATACTGCCACGTCATAGCAGCCACACCCCACATTTCTGCAGTGGCATGCTTATTACCGAAATATGTTTTAACAGGACACTATATTACTATCACAAATGAAGGGTCAACATTCTTCTAATGCATGTTGAGATAATCGTACAACTATGTTTTAAAAAATGAATCATCTACTTAAAATAATCTCTTTTCATCAAACCACACAAGGACATGACAGTAAAATTACAGCCTAGCATCCCCTGTGAATGTGGGTGTAAACCCCCAACAGAGTTCCAGCGTGTGGATGACTTGTACCCATGTCCCAGGGACACTCACAGCAGTGTTGTTCACAGCAGTGAGAGGTGGAAACAGCAGGTATCCCTCAGCCAAAAGACGGATCAGTAAAGTGTGCATGTTTACACCAAGGACAGCTGCCAAGCCACAAAAGGAAATGAAGTACTGCACATGCAGCAGTGTACATGAACTCAAAAGCAGTATACTGACTGAACTAGGCAGACGAAATAAAGGTCACTTGCTGTGTATTGGCTTTTATAGGTAATCCTCATTATTTGGGGATTCTGTATTTGCATATTTGCCAAAATTTATTTGTAACCCCCAAATCAATACTCAGTGTGATTTTGTGGTCATTTGAGGACATGCTCAGAGTGTTTACAAATGTGAGTTACCCACTGCACATGTACCCGCCTGCTATCAAACACAGAAATGCCGGGTATGGTAGCACATACCTGTGATCCTAGCACTCTGGAAGGCTGAGGCAGGAGGATCACAAAGTTGAGCCTAGCCTGGGCAGTGTAGTGACTTAGCAAGACCTTGTCTCAAAAAATAAAAAGGGCTGGGGGATGTAGTTCGGTGCAAAAGCCCTGCCTCGGCTCATTCCCCAGTACCATAAAATAAAAAACAACATGGTAAGGCTCCCATGCTGCACAGTAAACCAGCATCCTCTTGCAGTCTGTTCAGTGCCACTGTTTACATATGCTACTCGCTTTTTGTTGGTGATTTTGCTGTTTGAAGTGGCCCCAGTCATAGGGCTCAAGTGTCTTCTAGTTCCCTCGGGACAGGAGGCTGTGGTGTGCCTCAGGCAGTTGTGTTCAGGCACACTGGCCATCAGTTCCATGTTAATGACTCAACAGTACATGTTAAGTAAGGAGTCTTGAGACAGAAGCAGGAAAATGAGGTGATGCATTGACCAGTCAGTGAAAGTGCCATAACCGGAGGATCGAGGCTGCTTCACCTTGTTCCCCAGGGGCCAGGGCTCCACGTTCGCTGATGCCGTGTTTTTGGTGATTTTAAAAAGTAAAGAAGGCTGAATATGGAGACAGCTCTGTGTATTAAAAACCTAAGGTGAACAACTCTATAAGGATAAAAAGTAGATTTTGTGGTTCTCAGGAGTTTGAGAGGGGAGACTTGGGAGTGTGGAGCTTCTTTGGGGCATCGTAAAGGTATAACTATGGAACCACACATTTGAGTGGGTACATCTCAGCTGTATCTCAGGCAAACTGTTCAAGAATACAGCACAGTGCCAGGGCTGGTGACCGCCAGCGGACTCAAAGCAATCTCCTGGTCTGGACCTTGGCCCCCCATGCACAGTTCAGTCTTGCTTGTGCCTGTATTTTCAGCCATCCTCAACACGTGCGAACTTTTTAATTAACATATTTGTTCAAAAATTATTAAAGCACCTCTTCCCCTGGGAGTAGGAAACGCCCTTCACTGCTCTGTCAGGATGTAAGCTGTGCCAGTCTTCAGTAGTACGCAACCAGCAGAGCCACACAGGATTCACTGTACCTGTCCCTTTGTTGCTAGTAGAATCACATATTTTCATATCATGTGGTTCTTGTGTCCAGACAGCTTAAATAGCATTTACTTATTACTTTTAAAGTAATTATCACTTTAAAATAATGGTACGTTATTAAATGTGGTAATAAGAAAGCACAGATACTATTGTGCCATACCTTTCTTCTAGTGTTCTGATAATTATGTCCCAAATAACTTACTTTCTTTCTCAAACCCTGTATTTTACTTTGTGCCTTGAAAACATTCCAAAAAGGTGTTCCCAGGCATTATCTCTTTGCAGCTGGGTTTGTCGTCGCGCAAATAAGCTAAGCACTCCACTTCAGAGAAGCTGCACTTGGGCCCAGACAGCAGGCCAGGGTAACCCGGCCTTCATCCTCCTGGTGGCTAGTCAGAGGACATTTTCTTGAGAACTACATGGCCTTTCTACCCATGAAAGTTCAGAAGGCATGTCTTCGGCCCTCATACCCACTGGCTTCTTTCCTCTGCATTTACCAGGCTTCTGCCATCATCTTTCTAGGATGACTGGAAAAAGCTCTGGGCTTTGCCTTCAGTAAATCAGAGGTACATTCTGCCCTTCACTTGGGTGCTTTGCCCACTTAAGTAAAAAAGGAGGCAGCCCTAGCATGCAGTGGTCATAATGGGAGTCTGAATTCATGTCAACATGCTTATGTTGTGCACCTAGTGACTATTACAGACCCACCTCTGTACCCTTCCCCTAATCCCCCTTGGGGTGCAGGAACATTTGGGAAGCTGGCCCTAGCCAGAGGATACAAGATCGTGACCAGCAAAACACACTCTATTTTTAACCAGATAAATAGGAAGTATAAATACTTAGATTTTGCCACTAATCCATGAAGTAAGTCTTTCTAACACCAGCATACCCTATGGCCCCGTTCCTTACCCTGCCACATTGGGGCTTTCTTTTGAGCTACTAGAATAAGGAGAGAATATTTGTAAACATTGAGATTTGTATTTATAAACATTGT